TTTTTTTATTCACAGGATGATGAATTATAAAGACGATGCAATATTACATCCAAGAATAATAGGAAGCAGATAATAAGAGGACTATAATTATAGTAAAGGGTAATATAAAATAATTACTTGCAAAAATAATTCCAGAATTTTAATTCTTTTCATTTTATTCTTTCTAGCAACGTATATGTATGATAGGTATTTTTACTGTATCCTTCTTTTCTACAGGTATCATCAAATATCTTCTTTTTTTTTCACAGGTACCATCTAATATTACATATATTTATTTTTATCTACTATATTTTAGATAGATTAAAAATTATTAAACATAAAATATTCTCAATTTGTAAATTTCCATATGTGCATGTATTGAAATTATTCTAGGATGTGTTAGTTTCAACTAACATCAATGTTTCTATTGAATTTCTTTTCAGATTACACACATTGTTTATCATTTTGTATTTTTTTGCTATTCTTAATAATAATTCTAAGAATTTTTTATGATGGTACTCTTATGGTGGGGCCTAAGAGTTAGATTTATTCTTTTGAATTATATTCGGATGTGGGCATCTTTAGGATGCACATCCCTCCTGGGTCTTCAGAAGCGGTTACCTCCTCGTGGTTAGACCCGGGCAATGGATATTACTTTCCGTGTAATGTTTAACATATTTTTATATGTTTTACATTCCATTGCAAGTAAAATCCAGCCAAAGACCGCTTACCATAAACATTATAATTCTAATTAGTTTCTTTTAATTTTCCAATGAACATATTTTTATTCCTTTCCTTGGCTCATTCTATCCATTTCATTTCCAGAAACTAATTACCTTATAATGTTTTTTAATAACTTTTATAATGTTACAGGCATTACACCGATAAAACAAGAAATCTTTTATTGTAATATTGATTTTATTTAATTTCAGGATAAAATTATTTTTGTTATAATGCATATTTTATTTTTTAATGCAGGTTTCTATTATCTCACAATATGTCGATTTCAAACAAGTCTGCAATTGAAAGGAAATATCATACCTTTCTAAAGATAATTTTTTTGAAGAGAACAACGGCTCAGTTTTTAAGTAAATTTCGAAGAGGAAGGTACTCCGAAAATATATTTCGTACTTTTAAACAATAAGCAATCCTTCTATCCAATAATTAACAATTATTTTAATATTCTAATACACCCTTCTTATATTACAGCATATTTTAACACTCGATGTCATCACTGCTCATGAACAATACGAATTCTTTTCGATTATTCAACGATTATTTTAATATTCTAATACACTTTAATTATTTTTCAGATTGTTTCAATGCATATACATTGGTTTTAATGTTACATACACATTAACGTACTTTGAATAGAAAATAATTTTAATATGAATTTATTTCTTYAGTTTATCAGATGACTGTCTTTACCTTGATTGCATTCCCGGATCGAAAGGTAATATAAAATTCTCCAATTACTTACATTGCAAATAAAATTGTATTAATATTCATTAAAATTTCTGTTTCAGAAGCGGTTTAATGGGTAGCGGGTAAATTTTTTGTTCGTAAAGGGTGGTACCATTTACAAATAAAGAATTTACTTCAGGTATGCGACCCTGCCCACGCGAGCCATGATTCCATCTTACTCCCAAAGATAGAATCAYGTTCATTTAACTWTTAAACTGGAACTACCGTCTTTTTTTTTYYTTTTTTTTCTTTTTGATATGCATAGATAGATATGCATGTAGCATGGGAAACTGAAGCTTCATTGTAAGGGAARRCATCTTCCGCTAATTGTTAGACGGACCCAAGGATTCTTTTCCGTAAGTTCGCAATAGTATACGGTGTTGGACTGAACATTTAGTGTAGGTTTCTCCTAAATTTAGAGTCAGTGGACTAGTCCAATCGGGGGGAAACCACTTCAAAAAAAAAATCGTGAAAAGTTCCGCTTTAAAAGTTATACCTATCCCCCCTTTTTCCTATCCCTTTTATKTTTTAACTYTTTTTTATCCCTTTGTTTTCTGTTGCAGATTGAACTATGGTAAGGAAACGGCCACAAGTGGACCAAAGGAGGACCATGAAGGAACAAGAAGTGARCTTGGTAATATGGCATAGTATAAATTAATTACTTCTATAAATAAAATGAAAATTTGCATCTTTATATAATTCGACTTTTAGCGTCGAACGTGTTTGATAATTATTTTTAATGTATTTTCTTTATTTATAGATTCCATGGTACAACTTATAATTGTATACTCCTTTTAATTATTATACTTTATTTTATGGAGATTGAAAATTATGTATATAAATGTATATAGATTGTATTTCTATAAGTTGAAGTTATTCTAGGGTGTGTTAGTTTTAAGTATCATCGATKATTCTATTGAATTTCTTTTCAGATTACACTCCTTGTTTATCTCATTTTATATTTTTTAGTATTGAAATTTTTCTCTGGTATTTTCGATAATAATTTTAACGATTTTTCGGATGGTACTCTTATGGTGGGGCCTAAGAGTTAGGTTCATTCCTTTGAATTATATTCGGATGTGAGCATCTTTAGGATGCACATCCCTCTTGGGTCTTCAGAAGCGGTTACCTCCTCGTGGTTAGACCCGGGCAATGGTATTTTACTTTCCATGTAATGTTTATCATATTTTTATATGTTTTACATTCCATGGCAAGTAAAATCCAGCCAAAGACCGCTTACCATAAACATTATATTTGTAATTAGTTTCTTTTAATTTTCCAATGAACATATTTTTATTTCTTTCCTTAGCTCCTTCTGTCCATTTCATCTCCAGAAACTAATTACCTTTTAATTTTACTAATTACCTTTTTATTTACGACTAATAAATATTAAATAATTTTAAACTTTTAAAGATTGATCCTTTTTTTTACATTTTCAAGCAAATTAATAAAATTTTTATGTATTTTTAAATGTTAGGAAATTTTATCGGCAGATTGTAATTCAAATGAATTGTAGAGGGAAACACTGTCCAGCTTTGCGCTTTGTAGTTCATATTTCTTCTATGTTGTCGCTGAAGTCGCAACACTGTTACCAACTACTAGAACATAAAATCTGATTTACAACAAATACTAGTAAAATAAACGTTTATTTAAATTCTCTATTTTCATTGGTTCTTAGTTAGTATTTTAATTGTTTCAATTGGCACTGTTATCTACAAATAACGCCGGTTTGAATTAATTCATATTTTAACTGTTCATCAAAGTGTCAAAGCATTTATTATTGTTTAATAAGATATTTTGTGGATAATATTGTTTTAGTTATTAAATATTCGTTATTGTTTATAAGTGATATATGATATAAATCATGAATAATCTCGATTTTAGTCAATTATCAGGTAATTAAAATAAATATTATTTATTGGAGAATATATATATATATTTTAATTGATAAGTTTAATGATGTTTATATTTAATTCTTTTTTTTTTTTTAAAGATATATCAACTATATCACGAATTTCACGAAGTTCGCAATTAATGGGTAGATTAGATTCAATTTTACTTTCCAACGAGCTAGAACATCACTCTAGTCTTATTCAAAATAATAAAGCTACAACTGCACCTGAACAAGATCATCATGACGTTTTTAGGGAAGTTACAAAATCATTTATTGATTGTCAGAATAGTATCAGCGAATATGCCAAAGTACAGTTGATTTATGAATGTTTAAAGGAAATATGTTTAAATAAAAACATTGCATTACCAGATGAAACTAAAGACAAATTGAAAGGATTGTTAGAATCATATGAAATAAATAAAATCAAAGATATCTCGATAACTCTTAAACAAGGATTGGAAGATTTAAGTATACTGGGTATTCAAGATTTTCCTAAATATAAATTAAGTTACGAAGAAAGATTAAATGTAAAAGCTTGCGTTGACGCATTGATGCAAGAAAAATTGCATGATTTTTTATTAAAGTAAGTATTCATTCGTGTAATCGTCATTTGTATATTTGAAATAAATAATGTTAATGTTCAATGACATTACAGATATGAGGAATTAGGTGGTAATGTTAAAGAACTTCAAAAATTAAACAGTCTCAACACTAATAACCAATTAACAGAGAATACAGATTTAGAATTATTAAAATGGAAAGATAAGTTTGATAATATTTTAGCGCATTATAAAGATCGTTTAATACAAAGTACAGATTTGATCAACGAATGGAGAAAAGTAAAAAATGAAGATGTCAAGGAAATTTATGATAAAAAGGCACAAATCTTATCATTGCAATCGCAAATAGCTGAAGTACAAGCTAAAGTAGCTAAATTAACCTGTTTAATCAAAATGTATACGGAAACACCTAAGACAATTGAATCATATAAAATATTAAATAATACTTTAGACGATAAGATGTTAGAATTAAGTAATGAAATTAAAAGGAAAAGTCATTTGAAAAAGCTTTATCTTGATTTACAAAATACAGAATATGATAATATATTAAAGACATATTTACACCTGTGTAGCGCTATTAAAAAGAAAAAACAAATAATGGAAATGCTTTAAGAACAAAATGTATATTTTTATATATGTGTATATATATATATTTAAAAAAAAAATTTATTATTATTATTATTATTATTATTATTCTGATTATAATCGATACAACTTAATAGAAATAAATACAATTTATAGATAAAATGAGCCAGCAGATACATGATTATTGTTAATATGGAGATTTATAGAAGAAGAAGAAGAAGAAGAAATAATGATCCTTAAAAATATACTTTTAAGTTATTACATAACAAAGTATTTATTAATATTACTCGAGTGTCATTTCTTAAATAATGATATCACGTATACCACATCTATTAGGTAATATTCCATTTTCAACTAAAAATGTTTCTACATGAGTAGGAGTAAAATTAGATTCCAATTGATCGTTCAATTTAACAAAATTTCCTATTAATTGTCCTTCTTTGTAGACTAATAAAGCAGGAACACCCTTCTCTTTAAAAGATCTACTCAATCCAGCCACAGATCCTAAATATTTTTCATTATATAATTAATTATAATAAAATAATAAATAAATATAATATTTTGACATAAATATATATATATATATATAAACGAATGAGAAAATGTACCTGAAATTCTACAAAATTTATAGCTAGGGTATTCCTTAGCAAGAGTACTCAAAGTACTATTCATTTCTTTGCATCCATAAACTTTGTCTTCATATATATGAATAATAACTGTTACAAATTTATCCTCATTGTCGATAGCATCTACAAATGCATCAGCAGTTTCTAATGTGATTAGTTCACCAAAGTGTCGTTCATGTTCTTTATGTACTTTTTCAAGCAACTCTTTCATTCTTTGCTTTTGGTAAGTTATTAAAAATTCATCTGACAATAAATCAGCTAATTCTGGATCTGTTTCTTCTAGTTTTGCTTTTTCTTCATCTAAATCAGTGCGACATGTAAAACTTGCTTTCTTGATTATTTCTAATCTTTCTTTTTCAAGCATTGCTCGTTTTTCTGTTTCTATTTGTTTAAATCTTTGCCAATCCTTTAAAGTTAAATAGAACATTAGTGAAAATAGTTATGATGGAAGATATATATGTCCATGGTTTTAATCTGATACTTACTTTAATAACACCTTTAGGTCCTGTATTACTGGATGATCCATCCCATACAAAATTAGATGGTGCATTGGAGTAAGATGGTGAAAGGTTATATACACTACTTGAATATTTGTTTTCTTTATCAACATTGTTAGAATCTTCGCTATCATTTTCATCCTCGCTTGAACTACTGCAATAGTAGTGCGTTTTTTCTCCTAATATTTTATCCTCCAGCGTAGACATCCTTGATAATCTTTTATTATTATTATTATTATTATTTCTTTTTTTTTTTTATATTATTTCAATTTGTCTACAATTTACAAATAATTCTTATTACTCATGATAAATATAAAATGTAATTAATGTTTATATATACTTCAAAATAATGTTGTGGCTTGTTTACTTTTTTAAATAGATTTCAAAGTTGTTAATGTAAACTTTTACATAATCTAATTATTAACATTTTTAACGTTATTATGTTTTATCAATAATACTGAACAAATAAATTAACAAATAATCTAATTATGTTACAAACTGAATTAAAACGCTCAACAAAACGGTACATACCTTAGTAAATATATCAATATCTAAAAAAAACGCTTGTGTTGATAATGTCAAATGCGTTTTTATCAATATTGTGTCATTCGGTTTAAAGTTTCCGCTACTTTGACATAGATGTCACTTTCTGCGGACGCGTCAATACGCGGGAATGTTTGAATTATTTTTATTGATCCATTAATACATTTTTATTCAATTTCTCTTTATCACATATTCACGGTGTCTCAGAAATAATTTATTTGTAAAATTTTAACGTAAACATTATCTGTTTAGAAAAAAATGATAGATAAAAGTTCGATCATAAATGATAAAAGTATTTGCTAAATAATTTGAATTCATTTTAAGAAAGATGAAGGGGTGGAGGGAAAGGTAATATCTTATAAATAATTCTATTTCGATATTATGTAAAAAAAAATGTGATAAAAATATTTCCACATTGCAAGAAATTTTGTCTGAGAATTGAATAGTTTTTGTTATTTTTGAAGATTAAAATCAAAAATGATGAAATAAATAAGATCGATAAAAAGATCGAACGGAAGCTTATTCGTGTATTTTTCTTTCGGTGTTTCTTTTTTCTTCTAATTTAAAAAAAAAAAGATAATGCAGTTGCGTATGTGCAATTGCATTTATCACGAAATAGAACGAATAGTTGTTGGGGTGGCGGGGGAACGTTTATCATGTTTTTTTTTGTATGCTTGCTACTTGAGTCAGATAATTTATTCGAGGTCAATGATAAAGAAGAACCCCAACGGTTTGTTTTACGTTAAATTCAGGAGGGGTCGAGATTATCATTTGTATGTTTGTATTATTTCCGTAATAACTTATACGTATTTGTATATATATATATATATATTTTTTATTTATCTTTTTCGAAGTTTAACCATTGGGTATCGCGCAGTAAAATGAAGTTATTATCATTTTGTAATAAAAAAAAAATTGGACTATCTATTGAAACAAACATTACTTCGTCATTTTGTTATTTTTCATAAAGATTTTTACACCAATCTATGATATTCGTATACAATTTGTAAACATATTTGTATTCTTAGAAAGCTTAGAAATAATTCGTAAATAACAAAATAATAATTCATTTATTCATCGTCATCATCATCGATTTTAATCGTGGAATTATTGGTAGCATAGGTCTTTCATACACTCTGTATAAAACTTTATAAACAATGAATGCATTGCAAATTATTTACTAACTGATCTGTTCAAAAGCTTTTTGCTATTGATATTTGTAATGAAGATTTTTCAATATAGGAGGAACGCGCCATGTACATTGCTGAGGGACAGGAACTCGTTTAGTCACGTGATTGCGCGTGAATGGTTCAACTAACCACAGTCGTTAATACATACTAAAGATAAACATGGCTGCATGATGCAACGGAAGCTGTCCCCCCACATTTTCAGCCTAGCAATGTACATGGCGCGTCCCTCCTGTACGGTCCCTAGACGTGATTTTGTTTTTTTTATTGCCAGTAAGGAAAATTATTTGTGTTATAAAAAAAATAAAATATATTTAATTGACCGAAAATAAGAATAGGGGAAGGTTGTTATTGTTTTTTTTTTGATTTCAAGTTTTTAAAGCAACAATCTGCATTTTTGTCAATGGATTTCAATTTTTTAATGTTCGAACGGTAAAAGTTTTATAGTTCTATGTAATTGTGTGATAACTAATCGATTGCACAATTGTTGATAAGATTAGAATATAAAAGGTGAATTATTATTAGTTGGTGTAACTGACACGTATACGCGTAGGAATGACACCCGAAATCTAAACGATCTGATAGTTTCATGTGTTTTATTATCATGGACAATTTAGAAAAGTAAGTTTTATTTGTAACATTTTATATACGTGGTAATTTTCTAAAAATTATGCTGATGATAGATCATGAATAATGAAGAATGTACATAACGTGAAAATTTCATTGAAACAATTATTATTATTTTGATTCTAATTTTCATTAAAATTATTATTTAATAGAAGATAACAAAATGAGAAAATAATACGCACTTCTCAGTAAACAAAGGTAATAAATAATTAATTATCGAACGTACTGGTTACTTTAACCAGATATCCTTGACAGGAAAATAATTGCAATACGTGGAATTAGATTTCAGTTGGGAAGTAGGAAGAATCAAAGGATAGGTTCATCCATTATGTGGTCATTTGTAAAAACTTTATTTTCATTTTAAAAATACTTTTATTTGCAATGTCGAAAAAATAGATTAATATATCGGGTGTTACGTGAGTAGCATTATCCAACAGTACAATCGATATTTCGTATTTGTTCAATTATTTAAAGTAGCTGCTTCGTAGGGCCATTTTTGTTTTGTTGATTAACAGCATTAATCGTAGATTCCTGTCCTGAAATAAAAAAAGCAATTATTGATTATTAGTATTGTTTTTTTCTTTTTTTGTTTTTTTTATGCTTGGTAAAGTGATTTTCAAGATAATGTTTATATTTGTTTTAACTAAAGTCAGGAAAGAATGATATATGATAAGAAAAGTATGAATTTGATTAATCAAGTATCATAAATTATTTGAACAATCAGTTGTGTGAATTAAATGGTTTCATTTTGTTTTCATAAATAATATATAATTTGTAATATTAAATTTGGAATAGTTGAAATATTGTACGTGTTAAAACGAATAACAGATTATCTGATAATCTAGGATAATATTTGACACCTTATATATCCCTAAGTATCCATATATATTTCTTGTCCTAGATTAGAATGTCAAGTTTGATGATATAAGAGCTCTTATACAAACGTGTTACGGAATCATAATTTTTCTAATCATGTAAGTATTAATTAGTTTAGAATTAAAATCCCATATTTATTAAATTTAAAGAATAGAATATATTTAGAGATATAAAATAAGAAAATTGAGAATAGTGTGAGAGTGTGAGTGCGTGAGATTCTGAGAGGTATGAGTAAGCTAATGGAGTGCCGTGTGTAATCAGATATAGGAGGACGATGAACAAAGGTGAAATGAACACCCGAATATCGCTATCAAGAGCGTCGTTAGAAGAATTAAATAAAAGAAAAGGGATCGAGAATCAGTCATCGTTTAGTAGTCGAGCAAATAAGGTGTTTTATATTCCATATCCGTGAAGAGAGGTTTTTCTTTTTACATCAATTTATTAACAACACCGCGGAATTCCTTCCCTTTTTACTTGTTAGATATCCTTTAGGAAGATATATATATATATATATATAATTATTATAATATATAATCTATTACATTAATTGTATTATATTAATGTATTATATTAATCTATTATATTAATTATAATCTATTATATACTTGTACGATTTGATATATATATATATACTTGTATATATTGTATATGAACGAGGAAACAACTAGATAGAATTAGAGCGAGAAAGAAATAGAAAGATTGGAAGAGTGAGTGAATGAGTGTTTATATGTGTGCACGTAAGAAAGAAAGAAAGAAAGAAAGAGAGAAAGAAAGAAAGAGAGAGAGAGAGAGAGAATACTTGTTTTATGAAAAGAATAAGAGAAAATAAGTGAGTTAGAAAAAGAAATATAATAATTTAATGGAATTGAGAATAAATGAGAGAAAGTGAGAAAGAAAAGAGGGGGCAGGGAGATGAAAGGAGATAGGGAGAGAAAGAGAGAGAGAGAGAGAGAGAGATATTATAAAAATAAATATAAAAGAATTCAAGACTGGTGTCAACAATTAGGGCAATTACTTCGTAACGGGTTATCATGAAATGTTCTCCCCACTTTTAGACGGTAACTTAGAAAAGCTTGTATTACCATTGGTAGGAGAGTGAAGTGAATTCCCTAGATCATTGGTCGTCTCGTTGTGGTTTATATTGTTTTTTCTATCTCATTTGAGTTTGCTTATAAAAGGAGCCGCGCGACAAGACGAGTTTTAAATAAAACAGATATTATTCACGCGTAATTATCATTTGTATATATATATATATATATAATTTATATATTTAAAATATTAATTAAATAAAAGAGAAAAGTATATGTATATGTGTATCGGTATAATAATATAATTATCGTAAATAAATATCGAGTGCGCGAATAAATTATATATATATATTTTTTTTTTAAACATTATTTGACATAAGTTTTCATGCATCGATTTTAATTCAAATTTCAATTTGTTCATTATTTCTTCATAGATTTTGGGGGTTTTTTTTTCTTTCTTTCTATTTTTCTTTTTATTCGAAATTTTTTGGGGTTTTCATTGATTATTTTTTTTTTGTTTGTTTTTTTTTTTTCTTACCGTTACCGTTATCGTTATCAAATTTTGATATTGATAAAAAAGAAAAAGAAGAAAAGAAGATAATGCCGTTCCTGAACAACGACAGTCTAATCGATGGCCTTGATAAACGTTTTGAATTAATCCAACAATCTTCGTCGAATAATGGTGAAGAATTTCTTAATGGAAGCAATGGCAAACACAGTAATAGAAATACAGCTGCGTAAGTTTGTTTGTTTGTTTGTTTTTTTTTTTTATTACAATTTATAATGAATTTTTTTTTATTTTTTTATGTTGTATTGGTAACAGTAATTAATTCGAGTCATTAAATGTATAGGCGTGTAAGATCATTTTTTTTTTTTTTTTCAATGAAATTGCGACGAGGATTTTTTTCTTTTTAATTTTGTTCTTGTTGTTGTTGTTGTTTATTTTATGATAAAAAAAAAAAAAAGAAAATAAATGCACGAAAATTAAAAAAAAAATATATATACATATATATATATTTTGATCAAATCTGTCGAGTAATATTTTCATTCATTTTTATTTTTTATAAATATATGTGAATGTTGCGATATAAAAATGATGGCATATTTTTGAAAAATATCAATACGTATAATTTTATTTATTATTTATAATTTTTTGATTTATGCGAATTTAATATTCATTTTCTATCTCTTTTGTATTTTTATTTTCTCACATATATATATGTGCATATATATTATACATACATAACACTTATGCTTTTACCCAATTAACGATAATAAAGGAAAACTTTATTATCGCATTCTTTCATTAAATTAATAATGATAAGAAGATGAATTTGTTGTAGAAAGTAGGATGGAATATTTTTACTATTTTTCGAAATTGTATTTATTTTCAAACTATCGATTGATTTATTATTTCAAGTATCGCGAGTTCGTTATTTTTTTTTTGTTTTTTTTTCTTTTTAATAATTTTATTTTATTTTTACTTTTTTTTTAATTTTAAATACTATGCAATTCCGAGTTGATAAAGATATCATGTTGAACAATATTCACATTCAACAACAAAATAATATGTTGTTGTCGATGATGTAGGGAAAAATTTCGTTAACTATTATTATCGAGAAGTATTATGACATTTATTTAATTTATTTATTATGATATTTCGTTGAACAATATTTACTATTTAAATGTGAAATATTATTTTATCTAAATGACTTTATTTGTTTTCTTTTTTTT